TTAGGCATTTCTCGAACGTAACTGACGTCTGTTCTGATGGACAGACTTTATCTAAGGTTCCATCGGCCAATCACCGATCTCGGTCCAGGCCTAGAGGCGATGGAAGGAGTCTGTACCCATGGGGGGGACCCCCCTCAATCTTCTTCTGGTCGATTAAACCCCCTCACCTGACTCTCACCTGAGCTGGGTCCACCAATCCCAGCGCAGGCGAGATCACGTGAGAGGGTCTATAAAAGTCCACGTCCAGCGCGGGAAAATTCAAATGGTTTGCCGCTGTTATGGCGGAGGCATATCCATTCAGTGACGATGACGAAGGGGATGCTCTATTGGACCGCGCCTATGATCGGTGGGAACAGTTGGGAGGAGCTGCTGCCCGTGGCCCTCTCTTTCAGTTTACTATGCAACCTATCGGTCGACGACGCCGCTGGCGTGATGTAGTGGAGCGGGCGCAATTCAATGCGCAATTACGACAATTGCGGGATCCTGTGCCTGGAGACAATATTGGGTTGGCGTTGACCGAAGCACTCCATCAAGCCATTGAAACAGAATTGGGCCGTGAGCAGCGACCTGCCCACCATTTTGTGAATTTTGCTATTACAGCGCATGGGTTCACGCATGCTTACCAAACCGCCAATTTTACCGTGGGGGAATTTTTACAACGTACCGCCCGTTTGGATGAAATGTTGGCCACGTTAGCCGGCAAGTTGAACAGCAATGAAGCCTTCAACCCCGACCGTGGGTTCCAAGTGGATGTGGTGTTTGTGTCTATGCCTGGCCCAGGAACAGGCCATCGTAAACAACGCAATGCCGGACGTCTATGCCTGGATCGAGAGAACAAGAAAAGGAAATGCATTATTACCATCAAAAACAGAGATGCCTTATGCTGTGCTCGCGCGATTGTCACGATGCGAGCCCACTGCCATAAAGATCAAGGCGTGGATGGGCTTCGTGACTGGGAGAATCTCAAACGGGGTCTTCCTGTGCAGCAACGTCAAGCCCAAGCCCTCCATCAGCAAGCGGGGGTGACTGAGGGTCCCTGTGGTTTACCCGAACTCCGTCAATTTCAACAAGCCTTGGGGTCTCAGTATCAGCTCTTGGTGATGACCCGGATGAAACCGTTTTTTCTCATCTTTAAAGGCCCTGATGCGCCTCATCCAATCCGTTTATTGAAATCTAACGATCATTTTGATGGATGCACGTCCTTTCCGGCGTTTGTCAACCGCTCTTACTATTGCCTGGACTGTGAACGAGGATTCAACACCAACGACCGAACCCATCATAGTTGTCAAGGGAAACGCTGCAAAGCATGTGGGCGCTTTGACTGTCCTGAGTATGTGCGTGGCACCCGCCCTACGGATTATTGCCCTTTCTGTCATCGCAAGTTTTACGGTGAGCAATGTAAGCGTCATCATGTGGTCAGCAAGCAATGTCAATCTATCAAAACTTGTCTCAAGTGCCAGGCCCAGTACACCGTCGTCCCTAACCAACGTCACCAGTGTGGGTATGCCAAATGTCCCGTGTGTCACGAATGGGTGTCTATCCA